CAGCCACGCAGCTGATATGCTGTCAGTGTAAACACCGCCTAGCATGCCAAACACAGCTGTTCAGTGCGGCAGCCGTCACACGTTGCTCAGGTGGGCAGTGTGCACCAGGGCTTAGTACTTTAGTGTCTCTCTTTAAGATATGTATAATATTATTAGCTGTGCTATTTATTCGGCATTTTGTTAATATTCAAATACTTGTTAACACAAAGCATGCTGACTCATCATTGGCAAATCTGTATAGAGGTGGACAAAACATGAACAATACAAGCCCAGCAATAAAGACCATGATTCTGAGTCATAATATATTCACTGTCTTTTGAAATTGTCAGATAGTAGTATAATTCATTTTGTGTGATTACTTTCTCCCATGATAAACACTTTCTTGTTTCTCTTCTCTTCCTATCTCACACGCAGGTTCTGCTTTTTCCACATTTCTGTATTCTCTCTCAATGCACAGTCCACTACATGATGTCTTTGCCCCTTGCATGCCAGTCGCACTTTTATACTGTATATCTAGCAGGACTGGATGCACTTTTGTCCCACTTCCTTTTCATCTCTATGCCCACCTTGTTGGTGCACAGATGGCATCTTTTTGTGTGGCATGGTGGAGCAAAAAGCTCTGAGCTGAGTCCCTGGACACGTGTCAAATCTGCCCCCTCTGTGAGAGTCACTATTAGCACCAGAGTAGCTAATCGCCTACCATCACAGACTGGCTGCGTCTGGGCCTGTGTGCATGTTTATGTGTGCATGTGTGAAGTGGGAGACTCTGTCTGACTGTGCCTGTAAAGATGAAGGGCACATGTGTACATCCTGCATGTGGGGAAGTAATATAAAGAATATGAAGAGGCAACGCATGATAACATATGTGACGATGATAACAAGGTTGCAGCTGTATTGATCTGATACGGCTCTCGTATTCCAACACATGACTGATGTTACAGCCATTACAGACATTGTGCGTGTGATATGTAGCCCCTATATGACCAGCAGTGCAAAATACAAAACATTCTACCATAGATCATGGCCTGGTTCACCATTGATCATCATTGTGTGTGTGTGTGTCCTTGCAATACATTCTTGAACACCGCATGTGTAAATGCCATACCTGGTCATACTTGGATGCCTTCAGGTGGTGGTTGATAAGCTCAAGGTTCAGACGATTTTTCTCCTGCAAGGCAGCATGGAGCTTCGCTTTCTGAAGAATAAACAAGGGAAAGAAAAGAGAGTTTAGCGTGTTGTTACAGGGGAACTTCCTCATCGCTTTTACCCCTGAATGCATCATGTATGCAAGCCGCGTGGCGTAACTCCGTCTTAAAACTATTATATAAGCGACAGATGAAAGACACAGGTTAGTGCCGGTCCCTCCCTCCATCTGTATCCGTGTGTGTGTGGGGGGCTAAGCTTTTCTCTAAGATGCTGTCTGGAGGACAAAACCCACAGCTGCATACTGTCACCCTCCATTTGGTATGTGGCATTGGGAATGGAGGGGGGAGGCATGGGAAGAAACGAAGAGAAAGAGGGATGGAGGGTTAGAGGAAGGATGATGGGACGGAGGGAAGGCAGGAACGAGGAAGAGGAAATGGAAAAAAGGTTTGAGGGAGAAATAGTTCAGGAAAAAAAACGGAGCCGAGGAGATGAAAGGATGGAAGTCGAATGCTAAATAAGAAAATGAGTGCATAATGTGAGTTAAGATTGAGTTGCATACCACGTAAAAGGCTTGAAAAGAGGTGTGCAGTTCCTGTCTGCACTTTCTCCGCTGCCCAAATTCACATTCAGAAGTTGTCATGCCACTGGTGCTGCAGGTACTCAAGCATTACATAATTACGCCAGACTCAAACTAGGGCAATGCTCTCCTCCTATCACAGCTCTGAGCATTCAAGAGTGATTTCACTGCGAATGGTCATATCCTGGCACATAATACCACTTCATGCTATTGCACTGAGCTCATACTGTTGATTGTCATTCTCTGCATCCTGACTATAAGACGTGGATAAGTAATTTTATAATAGACGTCGGGGCTTTTCTTTTTTCAGCTTTGTCTTTAAACAAAAAGCAACAGTGGTCGATCACAGCTTTTGTTTTCCTTTTTACGTCAAGGAGGGTAAACAGTGGCTTCGAGACCAGTGGGGTTTTGTTTTAACATGCCTTATTTATCTAAAACTATTGCTTATTCCCCTAATAATAAGTAAGTAGATTTATAGTCTCCGAAAGAGGATTTCATCCAATTACCTTATAAATATGTTTATGTTTTAAAATAAACTGGCAAAAATGTAGATTTCTGAGTGACTGAAACACAATCTGACTAGCAAAAGATGCATTCTAGCTCCATAAAGCACAACTGTCTTATTTAGCATACACCATACACACAGGCAATATCCTCTCTAGTNNACTCGAGCAAAAGAGGAGTTCAAGCCTCGTACGCCAGCTTCTGCACAAGAAAAAGATTGTGCAGCTCAGAGGTTTATGATCAAATTTATCAGTACAAATCAAGGAACTCAATAAACCCCAGCTAAGAAGAGAATGGAGAAAAACAGACAAAGTGAGGGGCCAGCCAGGTTCATCCATCTCTTTGTGTGCAGGCAGAGAGACAGCCAGGGCTGTCGGAGAAAGACACAATCAAACCAAGACACAGGTAGAGAACAGACAAGGACAGGAAGACACAGAGACTGGTGAGTGAGTTCGCTTGCTGCTCTTATTGTGTAACGCTGTCGCCACAGCACATCGCTGCAGACCACAGAGCAGTTAGACTACTGAGCCACACCTAGCTACAGTAGCAGCCAGAAATGACTGGTAATTATGGAGACGCGGCACATCGTGAGGTACCAGCTGCATGTGTCCTCTGCACTGACACCCCAGGACATGGCCTTGTAGTTGACACCATAAGGAAGTGTAGTGGGGGGGGGTTTGGTGGGATGTAGAGATAGCTGGAAAGAAGGGATTTGAGGGAGGGAGGGACAATTGACACAGATGGGTAGGCGAATGAAAGACAGTTTAAAGTTGGGTTGAGGGTGCCACAGTATGATAACAAAAGAAACACAGAAACACGAAAAATTAAAACACAAAGGCTTCTTTTTTATGGGCCTCAGGAATGATGTCTGCTTCTCCACTTGCTCCTACTTCCAGTGAATCACACATTCACAGCTCTGCTTAACACTCCGTAACATCTTGTAAACACAGTGCTATAGTGCAAAGCCAAGGGAGACACACACACACATTTCTGTGCCAATTTAAACCTTCAATATGCACAAATAAACAGAGAAATCTGGTTCGAATATATAAAGGATATGATAATTTGGCTTCTCTTAAGAAAAACAACAATCTAACAGGGGATTTACA